CACTGCTGGCAAATGCAAATAAGGATTAAAATTTTAAAATTAATTAATAAAATAAAAAAAAATATGTGCCAAATTAACAATAAAATACTTTCCTTGCAAAATCTATGAATTCCCCCTCTATTTTTCCAAAACACTGTGTAACAGTTATTCGTCGCAACTCTGTATATTCACATGAAAATGAAAATAACCGTGGTAAACTATTTTCTCCCGTGAGATAACGTGGTGTAGAGCACCGCCCATGCCTCTCCACAAATAGGAACGGCTATAAATCTTGATAGCTTGATTATATATTGGACTTAATGCCATGGCACTTGATTTGGGTTGCTAATTGTTCCCTTCTTGTAGTATTTCGCAGTTGCTGCGGCTGAAGAAGTCATTGTTGGCGAGTTTAAACTTGGTTCATAAGACGGGTAGCTTCCCTCCGCTTTTATTACTGCAGCGCATTTCCAATTTCTTGTATAATTTTCTTTATAAAACAAACTTTGATTAGTTTATTCATAGTTCAGCAATATTCAAAATTTATATACTTCTCCAAATGCGTACACATCCATCATCGCCAGTTGATATTAACATCGTTGCCAACATGTTCCAGCAAACTCTCCAAACTGGGCAGTTGTGATCGCTAAACTTTACAGTTTGTATATCAAGTTTGGTATTTGCAGATGCATCGCTATTTTAAAATATATGTTTATGTATGTATAAGTATTTAAATTACAATATATTAACAGGATAATCTTACGTGACGCCTCGCATGTTCACAATATACAGATCCTTGCTAGCTACTGCCAACATATGAAACGTACGACCAGGATTAGGTGCGAAGGCCAAGTCAGTTACTGGTTGAGTTATTTCATTTATAGTCTCAATTTTTACACACTTTCGAGCACTTTCGCTATACGCGAATATGAAAACCTTCCCCGTGTGCGTAGCAGTCTCGTCACTTCCAGCCTAGAAGATATTTTGTTTCGACTATTAACAGAGTAACAAGCAAAAGCATAACATTTACTACCGCTAAAAGTTGCGAAGATAGCATATACGTCGAAGTATTCCAAGATATGCAACTCAATGGTAGTTTGTTCGCAATTTCATGTAGGACAGGCCATTGAGTGAGGTTCATTATATCTGGCGCCTCATAAATACGAATTATGCCGTCGGCCGATGCAGTAGCTAACAAAAGGCCTAAGTACTTTGGCGCAAATTTGACATCAGTGACACTAGTACGAGAGTCAGCAAGAGTCATTCGTCGCACCCAACGGCGAGCGGGTGTCATTAAAGAAGCAACTTTCTCACCAACAACTTCTTCCCAAACAGATGCCGTGCGGTCAAATGAGCATGTGACAATAACTTGACCGAACTCTGGATGCGCCCACGATATGCGCCAAATCGAGCCAGCATGTGCTTTCCAGTTGCTTGATTCTGTCCAATTGCCTTTATCATCCTCATCCCAGACCTAAAATATGTGTAAAATGGTTAAAAATATTTCGGCGGCAATATGGTATGTAATTGCTCGAACCTTCACAGTTTGGTCACTGGAACAGGTCGCCATTCGGCGTCCATAATAATCAAAAGCTACATCGTGAATAACATCCTTGTGGTCTGCAGATATCAATTCTACTTCAAACATTTCACAAACTTTGACAAAATTATGCACTCTAAAAGCTC